TCCCTCTTAGATCAAACAATCCTAGAAGGGTGGGTTATATTTTAGTCATTGTTGTTTCCTTGATGAAACATTTCACATTGTCTCTGTCCAGAGTTTACATTCGAAATATTTTGGTTAAAAAAATTTAGTCTCAGCTGGAAGTGGTGGTGCATGCCTGTAATCCCAGTGGCTTGGGAAGGAGGCTGAGACAGGAGGATTGTGAGTTCAAAGCTAGGCTCAACAAAAAGCAAGGCTCTAAGCAACTCAGTGAGACCTTGTCTCTAAATAAAATACAAAAAATAGGGCTGGGGATATGGCTCAATGGTTGAGTCCCCTGAGTTAAATTCCCAGTATCCACCCCCACAAAAAAATTAGTCTCATTCAGCAACCAACCATGAATACTTTTCCATTTGTATCCTGCCATTTGTCAGATACATAGTTGGTGCTTTGTACATAGTTGTAGAAGGAATAAATGAATGAATCCAGAAGAGTTAAATGACGGACGGGATGTACAGCTCAGGGACTAGAGGAAGATGAGAAGGAAATCTCTGTGTAAGAAAAATAAAAGCAAACAAAGAGCTATGGCAGATTCTGTGCGAAAGAAGTCCATGTAGGATGATGACTAGAAGCATTTGGTCAAAAGTTGAAAGAGAACAAAACCTAGTAAGTAGAAAAATATAATATATTTGAACTTCAGTAATTGCTGGGGAGGAAAATTATAGATGTAAGCAGAAATGTTATCATTAGCATATTAGGATAATTTACCATGTTGATGTTCAGTAACAAGCCTTAGACAGATGCTTAATATTAGACAAATACACATAGTCCAGAAAAAAAAGCCTCAGAGAAATATACATTTTGTTATAAAATAGTATAGTCAAAAGCATTTCAGCCAAGAAATTTTGGCCATTTACTCAATAAGAGGATGGCTACAGTTTTTTAGGCATTCAATAAATGAGCTCTGCTGCAGTTTGGATGTGTTTTCAGTGTGTCCCCCATGGGTTCATGTGATGGAAATTTGGTCACAATGTTACAGAATTAAGTGGTAATAGAACCTTTAACTGGTGGAGCTAAGTGCAAGGAAATTCAGCCATTGGAGGTATGGCCCTTGAAAGAAATTAATGCTGGTCTCACAGAGTTAAACAGTTCTTTCAAGAGCAAGTTGTTATAAAAGAGCAAGCTTGACCCTTGAATCTCTCTCTGGCTTCCTGCCTTGCCATGTGATCATTCTTGTATATGTTCTGGACATTGTGATACCATTTGCCATCAGGCCATAGCAGAGCTGAGCAGAAGCTGATGCCATGCTCTTAAACAACAACAACAACAACAACAACTCCTCCTTCTCCTCCTCCTCCTCCTCCTCCTCCTCTTCTTTTTAAATAAGGCACCTAGCTTCCAGTATTTTGTTAAAACAATAGAAAACTAATACAAACTCTATGCAACCCTTTTCAATGCAATCAAAGAAAGATTGAATGATGTTATCCAGAACTTGACTGGCATAACACAATTTGATTATACAGCATTTCATTTTACATTATCCACTAAAAAGAATACTATCTTGTGTAAGTTGAAGTATTTGTCAGAAAACATAGCCCCATAAACCTGGACCATTGAACTAAGAAATTTCTAGTGCTAAAAATTCCTTGAATTTTCTGATGCTAAAGAACATAGATAGCATCAGCAAATGGAAGAATCAACTTTATCTTGATACTTAGAATAGTCTTTATATATCAATGATAGAATAATACTCATATTACAGCTAAAGTTAACAGCAGGCTAATATCTAATCATGGTTGATAGACCAATGAGTATTCACTGTAAATTATAGGCTTAAGAAAAAACAACAATTAAAATGCAAGCATTTTTGTAAGTAGATATTTTCTAACTAAGTGCCAATTTATTACTTGGAAGGGTGATTTCTTGTTAGATTTGCATGGAATAATAAACAGTTTCAGTCTTAATTTATATTTTCCTCTGGTGCTTTAGTTGAAGTAGTAACTGGAACATAGATAAGTTTAAATTCAATTTGGCCATTTGATAGCCCTATAATGAAAATAGTTCTTAAACCGCTATGTATAAAGCTTGTTTATATACTTATGCACATAGAATCTGACTCTTGGTTCTATTTAAATTAGTAAGGAGAAAAGAACTAGTCTCCCAGATAAGGCCACGTATTCTCATGTTGGACACTGTAATGATTAAACTGGGCTTCGATATATATGTATTATATCATCTATATAATAATATATATTATATAATATATAATAATTATTATCATTATATATGAGATTATGTATGTATAATGATATATATAATGATAATTATTGTTATTGTTATTATTTTGGTTTTAGAGACTGAACTCAGGGCCTCACGCATGCTCAGGATGGGTTCCATTACTGAGATCCACTCCAGCCCTTCACAATATTATATTTTTAAAACGACAATATAAATCTTGGTCTTAGGCTTTGAGAATTTAAAATGTTTTAATGAACCAAAATATTAAATTGAGTGAAGATAGGTCATTGTCCAAGTGTGATTTGATGAAACTGTAAAGCAATAATATAGGAACTAAACTAATAAAGTGGTACCAAGGGCAGTTCCTCTTTTGATAAGACAAACTGTATGATTAATTAATGATGAGAGCCATTTTGGCATTGCTTGAATAACCGATCCTTCAAAAAGGGTCATGAGTTAGCATTGGCAGTAGGTTCTGGAGTTGTGAGGACAAATAAGGCCAAGCAGCTCCTCCCTGAGCAACTTCATAGCCTCTGTCTCAGGAGGCAGGAAGGGGACACCCTCTCTAATATAGCTGGCTGGAATGGTCCATGGCCTGGGGACTGACATGAGGATGGATTCCTTTTCCTGGGTGCTCCAGTGGCTGAACAGGGGAGGTAATGGGTTACTTTTGAGCTGGGCTTTACAGAGTGAGCTGGAGTTAGTTGTCAGAGAAGAGGGATGAGAATGGAAAAAGGAAGAAAATTTATAATAAAGGAAACATAATATTATTTGAGGGAATGTTGATGAGTTTAAAGTACTAGTGCAGGTTTCTGGGATGAAGGAAGCAGGCTGTAACAGAAAATGAAACTACAATATTAGATTAGGATTAGATTGTGAGATATTTTCTATGTCATTATAGGTTAGACCTTATTTTATTGGCAAATGTACAAAAAAAGCACTTCCAAAATATCCAAAGACAGTTTTCCAAAGGAGAATAAAGTTGCTATCATTCCAATAAGTCTAAATTATTCTATGACTTCCTTTTTTTCAGAAATACCACAAATATAAACTTCAGCCCAATATTTCTTTGATTACAAAAATGTAAACATACAAATGCTTCTAAAAGATTGCTGACTACTTTCTCTACTTTGTCTTCTTTTAGAGATTGAAAACCTTTTTAACTAATGAGAATGCTTTAATATTGCAACAATTTTATCCTGCACACAGACTGAGGCAGAGTTTGAAGGAAAAGACACTGTTACCTGGATCTGGGCACACCTCTTCTAGTCCCAGACTGCCACCAATCTGACTTGGACAAAATCAGTTTTCCTCTTTGGACCTCCGTTGCCTCAGTGCATAACCATGAATTGAGGAAAGCTTGTGTAGTTTTTAAAGCTTCTTCTCCTTCTAAGTTTAGTGCTTAAACATTTTAAGACTCCAATCTTTATAAAGACCAAAATATACACCTAAACAAATGACATTGGCCTGATGTAGAATTCAGGTCAACTAAATCTGACAAAAGATTTAATCTATTAGAAGAAAATTGTGTATGAAATTACCTATGCTCATTTATATATCACAAATATGCTGATTTGCATTTAGACCATCATGAGAAATTGTTATTCAGTTATTACATTAGAGAAACAATGGAAATTTGAGTGAAATAGCGTGGGAGTAGAGAACAAGTTTGGCTCTGCATATATTGACATCCAGATGCCATGGTACGAATGCCTAACAAGCAGCTGGGGTGTGTGATGCTGAAATAATTGTTCTCTGGAAATATAAATTTGAGAGTCATTGTAGAAGGGGTTGCAATGGGGATAGTTGAGAAAGTGTGGGGAAAAATGAATAGGCTGAAAGAGAGAGCAAGGGAGACAGAATGGTCAACAGAAGGAAAAGACTACTCAGAAGGAGGAGGAAAACCCGGAGAAAATGTGTGTGGGTGCTCTTGTTAGTGGGTGTCAGTCACAGAATAAGCATTGTCACATGTACACATAGGGCAAGCGTGGTGCAATTCCAGAAACCCACAGATATCTCTGTGTGAACATTTCAGTGGAATGTGGAAAATCAAGCACTTTTACTCAAAATCTACATAGGTGTTTAGATATAACCAGGGATTGTCTGACTGTTCTAAGTAGTGAAATTATGCAGCACATTTTAAAGACAACAGAAACATTCTGGCCATCACAAATTTTTCGTAAGAAGCTAGATACATAATGAAGTATTTCCTAAAAAGGTGGCACCTCTTTCTTCGGTGTTCTACTGCCAGAAGGCAACTGGTATATACGAAAGACTTATGTCCTTGATGAGTCACTGAAGCATTATTTTAGGAAGTTTGAAACTATTTATAAACCCCTAAATTAGGGAATGGTCGAATTTAATATAATAAAATATGATTGATACTGTACAAAATACTTAGTGGCATGAGGAAAAGATTAATATATGTTATATATACATATAGAATATGTTAATATACATTGTGTAAAAAAATATAAAATGGTATATCCAGAGTGATCATTTAATTTTGTTTAACAAAAACACCAAAAATTATACACACAGAGAAATGGAAGAAAACATACCAAAAGATGAGGGTGATTTGGGCTGAATGGTAATATTGTGATTGGTTTTAATTTTATTGTTTGTACTATATTTTTAAAATTCATTTAAAATATGTATTACTTTTGGTGGGGGGGCAGAGGGGTACTGGGAATTGAATTCAGGGGCACCCAACTACTAAGCCACATCCCCAGCCCTATTTTGTATTTTTATAGGGACAGGTCTCACTGAATTGCTTAGTGCCTCAATGTTTCTGAGGCTGGCTTTGAACTCACGATCCTCCTGCCTCAGCCTCCCAAGCTGCTGGGATTATAGGTATGTGCCGCCATGTTTGGCTCTGTATTACTTTTATTAGGACAGAATCCAATAACTCCTAACTTTAAAAAATCCAAAGGAAAGAGGGGGCAATACAAGTGAAATATGATTGTTCTATTCTGAAAACAAACATTCATGAATTTTCATATACATACCATCCCTATAGCCTATACCCTTTACTTTGCTATAGAAGGTGTAGAATTACACAGAATTCTACTTGTTCTTTATAGATATTGGTAGATCTAGCCTTGTAACCTCTAGGTTTGATGAATGACCGATTACCTACTCCAGGCTTTAGAACAAAAGGTTAAAAAGGTTTGGCAATTGTTTAAAACTAATGTTGTTTAAGTATGCTTTTAATAGTACTTGAATCTAAAATACATGAAATAGGTAAATACTAAGAGTTGGTGAGATAGCTCTTCAGAATTCCAACTGATAATTATTTTAGACATTTAAATAATGAGGTTTCACTGATTCTATTATGTGAAAAGTTCTTGCCCTGATTTAACCTAAGTGAGACAGGGACAGAACTATATGATAATAGATTTCATAAAAAGGTCTAACTTAACAAATCATAAAATTATCTGTTAGTTTTTTAAAAACTGCTTAATGTCTTTATTTACATACATCCAAGAATTATTTTAAGGTTTCATGAAAAGCCCTGTGCCTCATCCTTCTTTATTTTCAGCTAATGATAAACATGAATAAGATTAAATTATACCTTTACAAGAAATTTATTTTGTACCAAGTAGAGAATGTTGAGACTTATAGAGCTGCACAAATTCTTATTGAACTTAATTTTATGCAAATGAGCTTAACTGCATTGTTGGGTAGAGCACTGAGATTGGAAAAAAGGTATTGGGATAGGGCACAATCTTAAAAAATTAGATATTCTGTATTTCAAGAGGTTTGTAAAATAATTGATAATGAAATAAAGACAGTATTGTGCTAGCTCTAGATACAGAACGTATTAAGTAGAGAGATTTTAAGAATGATTTTTTTTTGTCTGTGTATATATAATAGATGCTATAACTTAATATCCCAGGGTCAAAATAATAGCGCTGACTCTATGGAAGGAAAATATTATAATCAGCATGAAATATACTTTCTTTATTCCCATTTTTTGATTCTAGAGTATAAAATGGAAAGAAGCATTTCGGGCAGATGCTCAGAGAGTCCCAGATCAGCACCATGCACACTACAGAAGACATCCTTATCCCTATAAAAAGGAGCAAGTAGATCCAGCAGAGATGGTGGTAAAGAGTTGGTGGCCCGGAGGGGACATTAGGTGAGAAAAATCAGTACATTGAACCTATACAGAAACTCCATCTTTTAAAGGTCTATAAACATTTAACAGGTTCTATAAGACCTAAACCTAAGCCATACTTTTATAATAATGAAGAGAATTTTAAAGTTGCTGGCTTTAATATTTCAATGTTTCACATTTGCTCAGGGATGTAGTTCAATTCTTTGCATGATGATAGGGCCTTCAAGATTCCCTGATGGATACGATTTCAGGGAGGCATATCTATTGGTAGTTCTGAGGAGCAGAATAGAAAAGACTGAAATCTACATCTTGGGGTAAAAGTGAGCATGAATTTAGAGCGTGGATTTCGGCAACCAGAGGCATAAACTGGCCCAAGTGAGAGAGAGAGAGAGAAAATGTCTGATACAATGTCAAAGAAGTTGTTGTCAAGTCTAACATGGTCCAGGGTGAAGTGAATATGTGGAATAATAAGGATAAGCCTGTGGAAATCTGAAGGAGGGAAGCAAAAGATTCCCACAGACAATGGCACAATATGGGGGTGCCACAGGTAAGTGAATGAGGCAGTGATATGGCCAGCAGGGCCAAGCCCCCGAGGGCAGAGGTTATCTATTATGAAAGAAGACTTTTGGTTTAGAGTTACACATACACTTGAAAACACTGATGATTTAAAAAATTACTTCAACATTATACAAATTATTATATCAGATTTTTTTTATTCCAGGGTTTATTATAGAGTGTTTTATTCTCTGTACATTTCTTAGGTTATTTTAGGCAAGGGTTTAGAGTTGTGTTCCCTAAAATAAATTTTTGTCTCCTACAATAATTTTAAACTTGTGAGAATTAAATGAGGTAATAGTTAAAATGCACTGAATGGTGCTACTGCGGTTTAAATGTTTTGTCCCTCAAAATCCATGTTGGAACTTAATCCTGGTTGTGTTAGTATTAAGAGACGGGCCTTTTGGGATGTGATTAAGCCCTGAGAGTTCCACCCTTATGAATGCAATTAATGTCTTTATGAAAGAAGCTTCAGAAAGAGCTGCCTGGCCCTTTCATCTTTTCTGTCATGTGAGGACACTGTGTCCTTTTTTCCTTTTTCTGTCATGTGAAGACACACAAGGTACCATCCATGAAGAACAGGCCTTCAGCAGCATTGACCATCAGCACCTTGATCTTGACTTCCCAACCTCCACGAGAAATAAATTCCTGCTGTTTGTAAATTACCCAGTCTAAGGTAGTTTGTTATGGCAGCACAAAAGTTCTAAGACGGGGCCACTGAAAACATGCCAATGTATTCTCATTTTTTCTTGCAAAAAAAAAAAAAAGATAAAAATCCTAATACAAAAGGCAAGGATAAGATCAGGAAGCATAAATCCTTTCTCCACTATTTCTGATAAGTAACTAAATAGAGTTGTTTTAGGGGAGGGCCAGAGTGAAGATTTTGCTATCAGGCTATTTTCTGAGACACATTTACTAAAAGACTGTATTTTATTTTGAAGCAAACTAAATAAAGACCCTTTCATGCTCCTGACAATAAAAACAAATCCTAATAAAATCATTCATTGCTGTACTCTGAGACTCACTTGCGAATGAAAAAGGGTAGGGGGTGGGGGTTTACATTTATAGACCTTCCTGGTAACCTTCCCTGATCTGTCTTCATCCCCGCCTTCAAAAGTTCAAAAGGCACTCCTTCTTTATTTATGTATCCCCAGGCTTTCACTTAGTCACTGTAAGGCTTGATATTCTACAGTGTATTATTTATTTTCATGCTTTTTAAAAAAATACTAGACTATGAGTTATTTGAGAGTAGGAGCCAATCCAATCTACTGCTCTATACTAAATATAAAAAAGGTGCTTAATAAGTGCAGAGTCATTTACATGTGTTCTTTCATTTGTCAAAACAATCATCCTGTGGGGTGGACACTATTGTGCTTATTTTACTGATTAAGAAATAGGCTTGAAGATATTAAACTGTCTCTAGTTGCATAGACTTTAGGTATAGAGTTTAGATTAAAAGCTTTTATTTTTATCCATTCTGAGATTATTTTTTCTTTTTACACTGAAAAAAATCTCTGAAACTGGGCTGGGTTTCACCATAGGTGACAAGTGCTAGTCACTGTCACCCATGCAGAGTTGCAATGTGGGTCTTATTTTGTGCATCTGAGGACCTGGTCAGGGCTCTTCATATTGTTTACTTGACAGATGAGTTAAGGGCATGGTTGGTACTATATGTGAGGAGCTTAACTGCTGTTTAAAATGTCTTCCAAAAGATTACACTATGATTCACCCAGAAACAAAATTTACTGCAAATGCATAAAGAAATGGCAATAGAAGAGCACAGCATAATTGGATACTAGTGAAGCAGATATTCATAATTGGAAGAATGGCAGACATTCTGTATTTTCTTACTAAGCAATAACCAAGTGTATTATGGAAACTTTCAAAGGAACATATACCGACAAATAGATAAAACTGTTTTAACATAGTGAGGGATCCGTTAAAAGAGTGGAAGGGCACTAGAAGGCAGAAAAGATAAATGTGGTAGGAAAACTTAGGACATGAGTGCTTTCATTTGAAAAGAGAACAACTGGGCAAGGGTGGGGATACCTGTTAGAGCAATTCAATAGAGCTTTGTATGTTGATAGAAAAGTTCTACAATCTGTACTAATACAGTAGCTGCTAGCACATGTGACCATTGTGCAAGTGAAATATGGCCAGGGCAATTTCAAAGATTAATTTTAATCTCACTTTAATTAACTTAAGTATAAATAGCCATTTGTGCCTCATACTCACCCCAGTGGACAGTACAGAACTAGATGGTGCTGTACAAACCACTGTTTCTTTAGGGGAGTGAGTGATGATTAAGTTTGATGGCAGAATGAGTTTCAGTATTCTCATCTGAAAAGTGCGGATACAATCAAAATGTGGGGTTGCTTAGTGAGATGCTGTTAGATCGTTATTAGGCTATGCATGATCATACTAAGCAAGGGTCAGCTTGAAATTTCCAGAATTAGCACACATACAATGCTTCTAGATACAGATGTGCATTTTGTAAATCCAACTTCTTGTGTCTTGGCCCCACCCTCTAATTCTGAAAGTGATGCCAGGTTAGCCCAAGCATTTGTGAGAGTTCTAACAAGAAGAGATTCTTTTTATTATCTAGAAAGAAGCATATTTTGTTTGCCAAGGGAACCCTGGTAAATACTAATAAGGAAGCATGTCCTTGCCGAGCCCATAAGGGCAAGACTGTTTTTATAATTGACGGATATCCCTTCTGGGAATCTACTGGTCTATGTTTGTTAGTTAATATGCATGTAGACAGGAGTGAGACACGTACGTGTGTGTGTGTGTGTGTGTGTGTGTGTGTATAATAGGACTAACAAGGACAATGACAATTGGGATGGGTAACATCTTGGCATCAGTACCCACAAAATTTGATCTAGTTGAAAGCACTATGGGGAGAAAGGTTGAGAAGATGAACTGAAATGGCTGGTCGTAGAAAAGATGTAATTCTCCGAGATGGAGCCTGGGACTGAACCATACTTCCTTTTTAAGGGAAAAGGTCCGGGACAGCTAACCATTTTTTCAACCTTTGCAGAAAATCCAAGGCCACTTTAACATCTGGAAATACTAGCAGCTCTGGGAACAGTAAAGGACAGCACCTCAGGCACATCTATTAGCAGTTTGAGGTCTACTATCAGAAAAGTTGGGGTAAGGCTGCCCGACACAACCTCAGGAAGAGAGGACATTGACAAGAGAGCACAGGAAGAACTGGGCTGGGCTTGCATAAGGATCAGCACAGAGAGAGTCACACTGCTTACAGCATCCCAGAAGCCTTGTGGGAGTCCTCAGAAAGGGGGCTGAGGTCCGGCTGATCAGAGGGAGTCTAGTATAAACAGGCATTTAAGTGACCCAGTTTGTCCTGAAAGGAGGGTGATGCCAGAGGACACTGGGGTACACTAGCTGTTTTGTTACTTTGGAGTTCCTGCTATTATTCAAACCCTTTTGAGTTTCTATAGTTGCATGCCATGACGATTTAGGGTGGAGTTAGTCCAGGGTAGTGCTGGCACCAATAAAGGACTGTTTGTTGAAAGCCGGCTCATCATTTGCCTTTTTATTGCTACCAGAACAACAGTAACTAGAATCACTAAATCTAACACTTGAATAAAGGCCCTTCAGAGGGCTTAACAGTGGCAATTACCAAACAGTACACACCAATGGTTCTTGGCAGGAAGTGAGGAACAAGAAGTAAAGAATTACTCCACGAAGTGAAAAATTTGGGGAGTGCTTCAAATAGAAAATATGTAAATTCACAAAATGGGAGGATCCTCAGAACAAACAACTGTTCTCTTGAGAAATAAAAAGCAAATAAAGTTTAAGAATACACCCAGCATCTTTCAGGAAGACTCTATTCAAAATGAAACCGTAAACCACAGTGGGAGATAACAAACTGCCTCCTTCTCTGTATTCTGTGACTCAATCGCCAAAGTTTGAAATGAGTTTTTTTTTTTCCCTTTTTGATGAAGGTCAAATTGGTTGAAATCCTATTTCATGGACCCTTGGAATGGTTAGTTATCATAATGTAAGGACAGACTGAGGGACCTGTATTTCCTTCTATCTCATCAACCTCATGACTCACTTTCGACTATCACCTATTCTAAAACTTTACCTAGAAGTGCTAGTCACACTCTGGCCATGTCATTTGAGTAACAAAAGTGAAATACTAAGTCTGGCCATGTCATTTGAGTAATGAAAAGAAAATATGATTAAATTAAGTTCATGAGATAGGGAAACTTGTTTTAGTGTGAGAAATTTTTGAGCCTCAAACCGACCAGATAAAAGAGAAAGAAAGGAGGAAACTTGAGACTATAACAGGTCAGAGTAATAGATCACATGGCAAGGAGTGCATAAGGTATTCCAAGTCTAGTGGACAAATTAGATCTAAATAAATCAATGGGACCAGATGGCATTCACCCAGGAGTTTTAAAGGAACTCAAGGATGAAATTGTGGAACTGTTGGCCAA